TACAAGCCAGGATGCCGCTGGCCCTCTTGGCCACCTGGGCACCCTGCTGGCTCCTATCCAGCCCCCTCTCCACCAACCCCCCCAGGGCCTTTTCCGCCGGGCAGCTTTCCAGCCCCTCTGCCCCACGCCTGGAGCGCTGCCTGGGGTTGTGGTGACCCCAGGGCAGGACCCGGCCCTTGGCCTTGTTGACCCTCACCCAACTGGGCTGGGCCCATGGATCCCGCCTGGCCAGGTCCCCCTGCAGAGTCCCCCTGCCCCCCAGCAGATCCACACTCCCACCCAGCTCGGTGCCATCTGCAAATGGACTGGGGGTGCCCTTGATCCCCTCGCCCAGGTCATGGATAAAGATGTTGAACACGACCTCCTGCCCGCTGCGGGTTTTGTTCAAAGCAGGTCTCGTTGTCTGGACTCACAGACGTTTTAAACTTCCTTCCAGAATTACGTGAGTCTCTTCCAACCCGCTAAGCCCAGGGATGAATCATTTTTGTACTGTGAGAAGCCAGCCAAGAAAAAAAAATCAACCTTTTTCTCTTTTTGCCGGTGCCCAAATTGCCCGTCTTTGCCCCTGGTGCTGTCCCAGATCCCAGATCCCCAATGGGAATCGCAAGGTGCCGAGGCTGGAAATCCACAGGCAGAATTGTATCTGCTGTGTGATAAATCACTCTGCTACCTAACGTTTTGCAATGCCTTTAGTGAAATGTATGGATTTACGATGTGAGGCGCATGCGTGCCCCAGCGCGCATGCAAATCACTGAGCACCCAGCACCCCCAAAACTGCCGCTTGTGGAGGATCACCCATATTTATGGGCAGTGTCCACTTGAAATTAGCAATTGCATCCAAGAAATCGGAATTATTTGCTGCAGATGGGGCCGGCATAAGCCACGCGATGCGTGGTTTTATCAAGATTTGGTTAAAAGAAAAAGAAAATTCCGTGAGAGTTTTAATCGATTCGGGTTTAAATACCTCAGCAGCCCCCCCAGTCTGGTGGTTTTAGCTCAAAATCTCAGTGGGAAGTGGATGCCAGGCGGGTGTTTGGGTGCTCTGGGGTCGAAACGCCGTGGGAATCATTAGCGTTTGCCTGTTTTCACCAGTAAACGTGCAACCCTGGGGAGCAAAAAGGCTCTGCCTCTTGCTAAGTGGTGTATCTAGCGTTTCATTGCTCGTCTGGTTTATTTAGGTATGCACGTCTGTGTCTCGTTATCTATAAATGAAATCTCCATATATATTATATATTAGAGAGAGATGTATTATATTGAGATATCTATTATATTGAGATATCTATTATATTGAGATATCTATTATCTATTATCATCTATCATCTATTATCTACTATCTGTTTTCTATCATCTATCACATATCATATATGATATATCATATATCAAATATCACATACCATATATTGTATATTATATATCATATATCAAATATCGTATATCTTATATCATGTATCGTGTGTATTGTCTAATATACTTATATATCTGTGCTTATTTATAAAGAAATAAAATATTTCTCTATTATTTATTTATTTAATAGACCTCCGTATTTCCTTCTGTGATTATTTATCCAGAAATGAAATGTGTGTGCACCTACGTATACACACACACACATATATATATAAAAATACATATGTGCACACGGGTGCGTGCCCACAGTCTGCTCCAGCCACATCCCCCCTTTACGCAGGTTCCTGATATGAAAAAAGCGGATTTTTCGCCTCCCTTAAAAGCTGTGTAAACCCGAGCCGGGCCGAAACCGCGGCCCCTTTGCTTTCCGAATGTTTGACTTTAATATCTCCCGCCTGACCTTTTCCTGCCCATACGGCGCTCATTGGCTTTTTTTCTTTTTAATCTCCTTTATTGTTCATAACTCCAAAGTTTGGCTCTGGCACCTGCAAATTCACCCGGCGCTATTTAATTTCTAATTCCCCCCCCCGCTCCAAGCGGGTTTGATTTCCATCCCTCTTCCCTTCCCTGGTACCAAACGAATCGGTGACAATTTGGGGTTCCTGGCCCACCAGCTTGGATTTCTCTTTCCCCCTCCCCATTTTCCAGCTAAAATCAAAATGCAAGCGGATTTTGGGATGCTCCAGCCATGCCGCTGAGGATCTCCCCATCCCCTTTCTCTCCTTCCCCTTTTTTCTCCCTATTTTCTCCCTTGAAAATAATTTTGGGGGGGGGGGGGGG